GACCAAAGGAAAGGTTTTGACCACAGCAACTGCTTATTCTGGACTTCACTGCTGAATTCTGGATTTGGCTATATTTAGCAAAGCTATAAGCGTCATCAAGCCTGAAGCCAGGAAGAAGTCACCATTCACAAACCACCCCCTGAAAATCTGCAGTTGCCTCTGAAAGACCAGACTTCCCAGCAGGCAAAGACATCTGAAGTGGGAGGGATCAACTTTGTATTTGCGTCAAGAGAGGCCCTCAGGTGTTTATAACTAAGCTCTCTGCCTGGTGCTCGAGGGGGCTCTATAAAGCTCAGTCCCTCCTTTTCTTGCCAACAGATGTTCTGCTCTAGTCAAATATCCTCACTGTCTCCCCTGTTCAATCTTTTCTATAACAATGTTCATCTCACCCCCCACATCACACACACATACACACAATACATCCACACACACATACACACACCCTGTTTCTGCTGCAAGCTTCTTGCCTTTTATGACCTTTCTAGGACACCCCTTACCAGACACCAGCTGTTCTCTTTCCCCTCAACTAGCACAGCACTGAGGTACAGCAGGAGAGCAGTACCTACCGATAGCTATTTGACAGTTCTTTGGAAGACCCTAGGCCACTGAGAAAAGTGAGCAGCAGTCACATGCAAATGTGCACGTGCGAGCAAATACAAGGGAACTCCATTCTGTCACTCCATGTCCTTTCCCTAATTCTGGAAAACCGTGACTTTAGACTACTCAGCTTTCTCAGAACATATCATTCTGTTTCACCACTCCACACCTTTATACATGCCATTCCCTCTGGCTGGAAGGTTTTGGGTGATCCAAAAAAAAAAAAAAAAAAATCTACTGAGTGATTTCCATTCCTCCTTTACCCTTCCTTTTTATCGATTCCTAACCTCTTTTTTTTTTTTGCCTTTTTGAGATAAGGTCTCCTGATGCAGTCCAGGCTGGCCTTGACCTCACTTTGTAGCCCAGGCTGGTCTGGAATTCACAATATTCACAATGATCCTCCTGCCTCAGCCTCCTAAATGCTGAGATTACAAGCATGCACCACCATGCCCGGCTTTCCTAACCTCTTTTACCAGCTCCCCGTACTCCAAGGTACGTGGTAAGTGCCGGAGACTTATCTCAAGGCTATTTCTCATCTATGGTATAGACCAATAGAATCCATGTCATGAATCCAACTTCTTACCTCTGGACCCTAACACAGTGTTACACAAAGACGCATCAATAAATGTTTGTTAGATGAATATATATGCGCGTCATATGGATATCCCCAAGATGTTGAATTTTAAGTCCCACTACCTTGCACTGTAGGTAGAAACTGTCAAGGTTTTCTGATTTGTAGTTTTAGTTCTCATTAGGACTGGATCTGGACTCCTTTGTGCAGATAAGATAACTCTTCTGAGAAGCCAGCTGGTCAATCTTATGTAGAATCAATATGGCTCCGGATTATAGTCTTGGACACAGAAGGTATTCAACATACACTTTTTCCTTAAAGTGTAGATAAAAAGCTTCCTGTAGCTAAAGAAGCATGACAAAACCACTGCTTCTCAAACTCTCTCTAAGCATTGTTCTAAGTTTCCCCATTAAGCTCTTTTGGAAACTTTAACCAAACCTTCCCTTGCTATCACACAAACCTATTAGCTCAGACATGAGACAGTACTTCATAATAGCATCTCCATCAAGAAAGCAGGAAAGTATCCTTCCCAGCACCGAACCTAGAGATAGTTGCCAAATCCCTCTACCTGAAGACTCAGTACCTTCTTTTCCCCTAATAAGCTAAGTTCCCTGGACCAGATAGCAAATCAGAATACCAAGGCTGATACCGCGGATAGAAACAGCAGCCCAGAATCTGTTTCTTAGGGTTCCTGAAATTCTTCACTATGAAGCACTGATCAATAACTACATCAGGGAAAAAGAAATCATCATCAGGATGTGGTGGTAATCAGGTTGGTGGTTGTAGGCCCATGCACGACTCTCACTAAACTGCTGGCCACTGCCCTGAGCCTCTGATGTACAATGTGCTGTCCTTACACAATGCTGGTTGAGGCTGACGGACAGGTCAGGACTCGAGGACTTGAAGAAGGACCAAAGAAGAAGCTTAGCTCCCCAAAACACTGCTGACCCTTTAAGGAGCTGGTATCTGCAAAGAACTTCTGCCTCAGCCCATCCCAAAGGGGGCAAGGAATTACTTCTGAGTACTACAGTCAAACTAGCCTTCATATTACACTCATTCACTTTATTTATTTATTTATTTATTTATTTATAGATTTTTCTGGTACATAACAGCTACCATTTATTGAGCACCTGAAAAATGTTAAATCTATACCTTGCCTTATTTAATATCTAAGACTCCTACTACCTATACAGTAGGAGTACTTAAACCTTAATTTACATCAGAACCTCCCCCAGAGCCCCACATCCACAGCCTATAGAGCGAGGCCTTAGGACCTACATCGCTAGCAAGCTTGCTGATGCTATGGATGCTCCGGACCCAGCGTCCCTCTTAAGAACACTGTCATAGAGAAACAGAGACTCAAGATGTTCTGGGATATCTGTCCTAGTGCCACAGCTAGTAAAGAACATCCACAATTTGAACCTAGATCTATTTGACTCTACTAGTGCTAATAACAACACCACGGTATGGAAATGTTGTGCTGTCTTGTCTTTCCAAATTTATCAGCAGCCCCTTAAAGGCAGATATCCTACTTTACACTTCCCTTATCCCCTTCTATAACTTAGTAGCACCTTAGGACTTCATAAGTCTACCTAAATACTTTGTATACTGTCCCTAACATATTTACATATTTCAAAGCCCACAAAATCAAACTCCAATACAGTCGAACAACATAAAATGGGCAGCACCACCCGACCTGACTTTATAGGGCACTCTTGCTACTCAGGCTTTCCCATGCTGGCTAACTCCTACTCATTCTTGTCTCTTCCTCTTGCAGAGAACAATTCTTCACTTCCTAAAGTTGGGGGACCAACAAATAAATAAATAAAATAAAATTCACAGCCACTGCACACTAGGCTTATCTCCATGATGGTAATAATTATTCTAAGTGACTGATTTCAGTCTCTTAGAGCAACCTGTCAACTCCAGCATCTAGTTTAACAACATACACCCAAAGCCTAACGCAGTGCCTGGCACATAATGGGCACTCCATAACTGTTTGTTGAATGAATAAATAAATGAAGGAATGCAGAGGTACAAGTTTTACATCAGTTCTACGTGAACATATCATAATGCATGATGTGCATTTCTCAGGGATGAATTCCAAGGAAGAGGAGGGCAGCCAAGACAACGAACACCAGTTTTGCCTTTTCTCCATTGCTCTCCTCAGACTCAGAGGACACGCCCTGGGGGGGGTGGGGGGTACCACTATCCACGGTGAGATACCACCCTAGTTGACCAAAGTATGCCAGGGCTCTAAGGTCAGCAAAGGCCATGAGAGGGAGAAAAGAGCTCTGTGCCCTCTCATTCCCCCCTGATCGCTCTCACACATACTCCTTCATTTCTCCACCCCACTGCAGTCGAGAGCTTTGGCACAGGAATGAAAAAGACAGATCACACTCAAGGGTAGAGATCTGGCAGCGGACACAGAAGCATCTCCCGTCCTGCACCAAAGCCTACAAGGAAAGCTCCAGAGGGATAGTGACTCAGGCCCCGGATTAAGTCCAGCCAGAGCAGTACTGAGAATGAAAAAGAGCAATAATTTCACATGGACAGTCACTGTCAGGGTTTTTTGTGTGTGTGTTTTTCAAGTACTGGCTTCAACCCTACCCCCCTCCCCAAAAGTAGGCCTTGTTGAATCCAGTGCTTACACAGGCTGACAACCAAGCAGCTTCTATGTCTTCCCAACTTACCCACCAGCCTATAACACTCACCACGGCAGGCATTTCCTAGGCCCAGGTAGGGACCTTTGCTTCAATCTTAGCTTGCGAAAGACTGCTTTTATAAAGAGCCTCTTCACTTCCTCTCTTGCCTAGCTAATACAATGTTCCCTACCACCATGTTGCAGTAATAGAGGCCTCCCCCTTCCCCAGCCCCTCACAATACATAATACAACCTACAGCAGGTTGGCCCCATCCAATTAGTATGAATTGCTTCACGCCAAGGAAATTGCTGCTTTTATTAAAAATAAAAGCACACTAAGCAGGCAATGAGCTGTGAAAAGTATGAGTCTAGCATAATTATGAAGGTCGAGGTTAAGGTTACCAAAAGAAACATGCAAAGATTTCCCAAAAGCCTGGGAGATAAAGATGTATTTTGACATACACAGGGATATATAAATGAACATACAATAAAGGAAAAATAAAAATCAGGGTCACTTTCAAGATATTCTTAATAAAAACTAAAACAAGAGGAAGAGGAGCCAATGAGAACAACTTCAAAATAATCACATTCATTTCATATCATTTCTGTTACCTTAGCTATATCCTAAGGATCCGATTACAGTTGGACTAGGAAACAAACCTAGTCAAATCCACCAAGACCCTTGACTCAGAAAAACACATTCCCGTTCTGTGAAAATCTTCTCTTCCTTTCAGTGTTTGCTTTTGGAAGTGGAAAAGTTGAAACCCCTCTCTCTTCGTAAAGATCCCCCCAGCCCATCCTTCACCTTCATGTCAATACTCCCAAGTTTTAGAAGATGACAAGCCCACCACCCAGCATTTGGTGTAACCCTTTACACTTTCACAAGTCTGGTTTTCTGTCTGATCAGAGTATTTCCATGAGGCAAAGACGGTGGCTTCTCAATGCTTTTTTCCCTAAAATAAAAGGTCACTGAGGTAAACAACTTCAACAACCTCCTGCCACCCCTTTATGCTCTGTCACTTTCCAATCTCACTTTTAAATCTCTCAAGGACAATGACTCACAGGGAAAGTGAAGGGGGAAGGGTGGGTCAGTTGGTCAAAGCCCATTCATAGATTGAACAACTAGGCACCAGAGTCTTGCCACATCAGCACAAGATTTTAATTTACGGCGCACTGAGCTCCACTGTACCTTCTGCCAACACCTCGTCCACAGTGACCTGCTGTCTCCCGATGCCAAAGACCCTTCCGATGTAGCCACTGCCCAGGCCCGAGGTGCTGCCCCCTCCACCGCTGGAGCCGGAGCCCAGGCCAGAGCCGCCCTGCTCTCTCCGGGAGTCGAAAAACTTCTTCATCTTGCAAATGAGAAGCAGCAAAGCAAAATGACGATGATTTCTAGATTTTTTTTTTTTTTTCCTTTTTTAAGAAAAGAGATCTAAAGATTTCTTCTCGGATGTGAGCTCGCAGAGGAGCCACCCGAATCCGGCCTTAGGGGTGGGGGCTGAGCGAGGAGGATGCCTATAGGAATATGCGTGTCAATCGCACGGCGGATCCCCTCCTCCTCCTGCGAGCGATTCGTGTAAGTTTAAACCTGTGATGACAGAGGCAGAGAGAGGATGAATCAGTAACACACTTAAAAATTCAACTGCTGAGTCCCTAAAGGTAGCAAAAGCCATCATTCTGGGGAAACGCTTCATGCATTTTTCCTGGCGAGAAAAACCCTAGGGTTGAAAACGCGTCCCCGCTTCCAGAACCCCAGGTCCCCGCGTCCCCGCGTCAGGGGCTCAGAGAAAGGAGGGATTCGGGCCGCCTTGGCCGGCGCCGACCCGACCGGGCACTGCCTCCCCCTCCTCCCCGGTTCCCCAGTCGCCCCGCCAGGCAGCATCCCCACGGCACCCACTTGAGACTGTTCAGCGGCCGGCGCCCAGCTACCAGGCCCGCAACATTGTCACGGCCGCCAAGCGGGCCTGCGAGGCGGAGAGGAGGCGGCGCTGCAGCCTGAGCCGGGGCCGCAATCGGCGCCCGCCAGCCAGCTGATCCCCCGTGCGCCCGGCGGAGACTGACCCGCTGCCCCTCCCCCGCGCGCGCTCCCGCCCGGCTCCATCCACCCAACCAGGAAGTGAACCGCCGCCGGAAGTGCCTCTCGGGGCGGTGCGGCCCGACCTCGGGGCCGCTCCCGCTATTGCTACTCTGAAGCAACGAACGGAAAGGAGCTGATGGCGAGAAGAAACCCAGAAGAGAGGTCTGGGAAGTAGGGAGTCTCACAGAGAGTCTTGGAAAAGAATGTTGCTATCGCCCTGGCGCAGGGGATCCTGGGAAAGGTAGTTGAACACAGCTCGGCGAGTGGAATACAACTCCCAGAATGCTCCTGGAGGAGCGGGCGTGGCGTCAGCCGTGGCCTCCGCGGCCTGTAAGGTGCTTAGTGGAGTGGTGCATATGTGGGGATTCGGTTATTAAAACACATCCGGTAAAGAAACTGCCAGGGAGTAGGCTTCCCCCCAGCTGCATGTCTACCATTCTGCAGCCGTCTGATTTATGGCCTGGCCTTCTGGCACAAGGGACGCTGGGGATTGTGGTTTCCGAACGCATCAAGGCTGACACCTGAAGGACGCAGCTTAACCGTTTTACCCCAGATTGGTCCTGCGGGGGGCTTGATGACATCACATAAGAAGGCCGATAGGCGATGGGAACATTGTGTTGACGACTGGTTCCGGCCACACCGGGAACTCCAGCCCTAAAGGAAAGAAAAACGTTGCCTCTTCGCCCGAAATCTCAAAGCTGCTTTTTTCCTCTCTTCTTCGAAGCCGCTTGATGCTCGCAGATGACCCAGAGCCGACTCCGCCGTTAGCTTTGAGTTAGGGACTATGAAAACGCCAGGAAGACAGTGTCTGGTCTGAAAATCCACAGGCAAAATGCTGACCGACAAACTGTTGGAAAGTTGTGTGCAGAGCAGATTGCAGGAGAGCCAGGAGACAGCCGGTTGCCTCGACCCCAAACTTTGGGGCTTACAATCCTACAGTGACCTTTAATTCTTCCACCTTTACTGACGCTTTCGGTGGACCTGAGCCTCACTAATCCCTTCCAAACGACACCCTGGCCAGGTTTTCCGTTCTTACTCACTTCAAGATTCTTCCCTTGATGTTTATCTTACCCTCTTATCGCCTGGGTGGGGGATGGAGGGTGGGCGGTGTGATTTGCATCTGTCAAAAGGTGGAAGATTGGAATGCGGTCGGTACCCGTATATCTTCTGAAAGATGATGCTAAAAGTAGTGCTAAATTCCTACTCCCCTATCCATAATTTTTCTAATACCTGAATGTAAGTTACTGCTCTATACCCCACTCCTCCCTCTCGCTAATAGCACAACAGCCCTCTTGCCTTGTAATTTCTCCCAGAATTAAGGCAGCATGTATTTGAAAAAAAAAAAAAAAAATACCCCAGGAAAAAATGGTTCTTGTTTTCTCTATCTCGATATTCAGCTGAGGTGGGCTGGGCAGGGCTAGCGGTGTTGGTGTGGCTGCTGTTGGGCTTCTCCTTTCAAGTAGCGCCATTGTAATTAAACTGAAGAGATAGCATCTTTTCTTCCGGAGAGAATCAATGTTGACACCTCAGTTCACAAATTCATGCAGCCACCTTCAGGGCGAAATGCAGCACCTACTAAAACCTTCCCTTAAAGGAAGCCCACGGAGGCATGCTCTCTGCACCTTCCTTAAAAGGCTAAATTTTTTGCCTAAGTAAGTTTGGAATAGCTCTTAAAATAGATGAGAAACCTCGTTTTAGGATTGAGCTCATTGACCCCATCTTTCTCAGCATCTGTTTTCTTGACTGACTTTAAAAGCAGACCTGTTAGGTTATATATCCATTAGATCCTGTTGTTGTGTCATGCTTTTTTGGTTTATTTGTTTTGCTTGTGGTGGAGGGCCATTTCCTAGTACTAGATCCAGGCCAGATTTGCATGAATTGCAGGTCTCACTTCAGAGATACAAAAACTTGTAATAGCATTATGGTAGCTAACATGTATTTTTTGTATACTCATCTGAATTCCTTAAACAGAACCTGAGAAAGGAGGTTTTAAATTTTTAAAAAACAGAAGACTGGTTTTCTTGCCCTCCATAAGGCTAATAGCATCAAGATCCACAAAGTTTTTTTACATTGTATATTAGGTTATTTATGCCTCTAAATAATTTTTTGGAATAGGGTACT